TTTTTTTTTCTCTTCTCAGATCCGGTAACCCGGTCTGCCAGATAAGTCTATGATGCCTAGAAAGAGAACACTCCCTGACCCCGCTGGTCTTTATATCCCATGTTGCCAAGACTACCCGAGAGGTCCACAATCCTCTGCCCCACCTTAACCTCCCTTATGGAAATCATATTTTGCCCTTAAGCCCTAAACCCTCATCAGTGGTACTTCGAACCCCGCTCTCCCTTCAGATCCGGTAACCCAGTCGTGTTTTAATTCCACCACTATTCCGCTGTTTCCCGTTGTCGTGGAGCGTCTGCCTTAAATTTTGCCGCTTGCATAGCATTTCTCCTAGAGTGGGTATGTTCACTTTTTCCAGCTGTCTTGTGAGCTTAGCCAGCCTGCTCGTGACCAATCCTGTCTCCTGTCCCCCACATACCCTGTCTCCTTTTGGATACCGCTTCATCCCTGAGTCCTCAACCTTTGATGCATTGTCATTCTTCAGTTGGTTCGCAAGAAGTCATTAGCCCACCAATAGTTGTCCGCTGTTGGAAGCCTCTTTCTGCCACTGAGTTATGCCACTCTCTCCAGCAGATACGATCTTCACGTATCTCCGCAATCTTGCCGTCTATCAGCCAGTTCTTGTTAAACCTCAATCTCTCCTTCTTTCGCTGTTCCTCATCTTCTGTCGATGATTGCTTGGTCTTCCGCCATCTGCACAGGATCTCGGCTTGTATCATCGTTCTGGTTTCCACCCAAACCTTCTCCCGTGGGTTGGACTGTCTTTCAATTGTCCTGCTGCATCTCTCTTTCCATATGAGATGATATGACCCATAGCGTCACCTTCCTGATGAGACCAAACCCCAGATCTTTTCTGCCTTTCTGCGCTGATCAGGGATGTTAGTCAAGAGGAGAAGTTGGATGGGTTGCTTAGGGAAGGGGGTTAGGAAGAGTGAGTCGCAGAGTGTCGAGGCTCTCGCCCAGTATTTTGTCGCCTCTCTGCAGTGCATTAGGCAGTGGACTATACCTTCAACTTCACCTTCCGAGCAAACTGTGCATATTTCCGAACTGTTAGGATCTGAGACCTTTCGTCTAGTGTGTAGCCATTGATTCACTGGTAGTGCTGCATAGGCAATTAGCCATTGCAGACTTCTGATCTTAATATGCCTGATGAGCTTGAAATTTTTCCATTGGATTTGTGTGAGTTTGTCTGCTTCTTGCCCCAATAGATTCTGCCATCTGTTTTTGATGATAGGGTCTGGGTTCTTGGTTTTCAGAGACAGTCTATACCCCAGTTTGACTGTGTAGTCGTAGATTGGGATTTTGGTTCTAATGTCTTTGGCCTTGTCCGGCATCCACGCCCACTCAGATGGATCAAATTCCAAGTTACGGACCGYTGTGTCAGGTCYGAAGATTGACTTTGGCCATGAGCCAAGGACTCGTACCTTCCTAAGTAAGAAGGATTCCAGAACTGTCGATTCCACCTCGCTATTCCGGATGGTTGGCATACCNGACTTTGGCCATGAGCCAAGGACTCGTACCTTCCTAAGTAAGAAGGATTCCAGAACTGTCGATTCCACCTCGCTATTCCGGATGGTTGGCATACCAGTGGTGGTCATGGATATCGGGAAAGAGAGAAAGGAGGCCCTGATGCGAGAGCCTGGTTGCATGTGGGAGAACTGGAAGGCTCTGGAGGGAATCATTTCTTGTATCATAATCCCCCATTCTCCAGGTTTCCATGCTGCGTCTTCTGTCAGGATATCTTTCCATTCTTGTGGGATGCGGCCAATTATGTACAGGAGGTTGGTTTCCTCGTCTGTGGCATCCTTTCAGTTGAGAGCTAACTTCCTGTTCAGTCTTCCATTCCTTTCTGTCCTCATTCCATAAGTGATCTATTTTCCAGATTCCATTTTTGACCCAGGAGAGCCATCTGTGCTCTAGGAAGAGTGGGTTATCACCCTCATTTGTTATCCATTGGTTTCCGAAGAGCGGTTGCCTTAATACTTCATCCTTGGATCTAGGTCTATTGGTCTTACTAGGAATTATTTTTCTCCAGATTTGAAGCAGCGCCGACCAGTATGGAGTAGACGGACTATAGCCCTCCAGTCTGGTGTCCCTTGTTTGATTCCTTCGCCCTGTGGTTATGACCCAGTATTTGTTCATTACCCAAAACAGTCCTGACATGTCGTTCGGCGATGGCCCTGGGGCCACGGATCTGATGCTGTCTACGGCTAATTTGTTCTATGCACTATCTGGGTTCATCAGTAGTTTGATGATCCACTTGATTTGCATGGCTTTGGTTTCTGTTCCGGGTCTATAATCCCTAGACCTCTTTGTGGGCTCCTCGTCACATAATGCCATGCGATCTTAGATATGACATTCTCCTTGTTGGGGTCCCCTGACCATAAGTAAAGCCTGGCCTTTCGGTTCAACTCTTTGATAGAGCTATCCGGAACTGTCCAGATGGAGGCTATGTACCACATCATTGAAAAGACCGACGTGTTGAGAGCCAGTGCTCGACCGATGAGGGAACTAAAGACATTGCCCCGCCTTCCTATTTTATTGATCTGGTTGGCCAGTATGTTCTGGCCCATTTGGGGTGCTAGGCCTTCTCTTGTCATAAGTATGCCAAGGTATCGGGTGGGGGTGTCCGGCACTTGCCATGTCATGGCTGCTGCTTCTCCTTGTAGTGAAAGAGCCTCTTCGTCTGATAGCCACCAACCTATCATTTTATCCTGCCCTTCACATATTTCTCTCCTGCCCCTCGCACTACACCTCCCCCTACGCCACACTCCTATAGAACTCGGCCTTCTATCCCTTTCCCTACACCCTCCCCTTTTGTGCTACTAGCAAATGAGCATCGTTAAGAGAACAGATGTTTTGAAGATCAGAAGTCAACAGGAGTATGGAGACGACAGAGACACAAAGACTAAGAAGTATAAGCTGGAGATCTGAAGTGAAATGAACAGGAGTATGAAGATCTGAAGAGAAATGCACAGGAGCATAGTACCTTCCCATTTACTCTGCCTCCTGTCATAATGTGCAAGTGGGCCGTTAAGGCACACGGGAATGTGGGCAGCTGCTGCTTAACCACAATCAACGTGGGCAGCCTTGTACGTGCGAGGCATAGTAACAGAGGAGCTGATGCCCCAAAGAAACCCCAACTAAACACGGTTCAAAATGGTTCTATTATGATTCATGTTGCTTGCTAAAGACTCTGAGATGAATTCTTTGATTATTGGGCTGGCTCCAGTCGAATCTACTCGTCTGGGTGGAATAGGGGCTGTTATGGTGGAAACTTAAAGCACACACTTACACACACACACACACGCACACACACACACACACACACACACACACACACACACACGCTGGAGACTTACCTGACGATGCGTATCTCATCCAATCTCTCTCTCTCT